TCTTTTCCAAGAGACCATAAGCTCCAAGAGGCAAGAACCATATCAATTGTTTACCAATCTGTCTCCTTTGCGTGTATCATATTTGGCCTATAGTAGGGACTCAATAACACCATAAGTTGTGAATTGACAGAAGGGTTCTGATGCGAGGTGTGAGGGTGGGGGATGGGGAAGCTGGGTGGGAGTGGGGGATGGCATGTGGCTACTGTGAAGTAACTTATGGGCAAGGCTGGGATGGCTGCCTGGTCTTTAATTCATGGTCTAGCCTCCCTCCCTGGGTCTGGGTAACCCCTAATCGGGCATTGTATTCATCAGTCTTGAACTGTCCTAGGTCATTGCTTCATCAAAACCTGGTGTGCCTGCTGAGGATTCCTTGTCAGCTGCTCATCCTTTTTGCTAATTTGCCACCAATTCCTGAAATAAAAGTGCCCCTAGAGTATTTCAAATGCAATAGTTCCAAACAGTTTAGCAGTTCATCAAAAGGTTAAACAGAGTTATCATATGAAGCAGAAATTCTACTACTAAGTATATATACCCAAGAGAAATGAAAACCAATGCCCACAGGAAAAGCTTGTATGAGAATGTTCAGAGCAGCATTATGCATAATAGCCAAAAAATAGGACCAACCCAAATGTCCATCAACTAATCACTGGATGTATAAAATGTGTTCTATCCATACAACAGCATATTATTCAGCTATAAAAAGAAACAATATGCCGATACTGTGACATAGATGAGCCTTGAACACATAATGCTAAGGAAAAGAAGCCAGACACAAAGGACAACCTATTGTACAGTTCCATTTATATGAATGTCCAGAAGAGGCAAATTCAGAAAAACAGAAAATAGATCAGAGGTTGCCTAGGGCTGGGGTTTGGGAGGAAATGGGAAAGAATGCTAGTGGGTATGGATTTGGGTGGAAGGGGTGATGAAAATATCCTCAAATTGTTTGTTGGGGCTGCACAACTCTGTCAATATTCTAAAACCCACTAAATTAGACACTTTAAATGAGTGAATCTTATGGTATATAAATTACATCTCAATAAAGGTGTTAAAAAAAAATAGTAGTTCCTAACCTTGTTAGGTTAAGATTTTAGGAGGAATCTACTGAAAGATACGGACTTTCTCCTGCCCCTGCCCTCAACCCCTTCACTCATGAAAAACCCTTCTATGCATGTATTTAAAGGTTTCATAAAACATCAGGAGATTCCCAGACTGACTCAAGTCCACTTACTGAGTCCTAGAGGGCTATAAGCCCCAGGAGAACCCTGTTTTGAAGAGACTATCACTAGTATATGAACGTTAGGTCAGGCGCACCTTCTGAAAAATTTCTTTCCATCTGTGCTTCATCTTGGCCCTTATCCACCCTCCTCACAGTCCCTCTTGCCCCCTCCCTCACTTCCTCTTCCTTCTCAAGCTGTTTTGCTGCCCTTTCTTGATCAGTGTGGTTGGTAACATTTTAAGAAGACTCCCATGACCTTTATCCCTGTGCTACTCCCATGTCATATGGCAACAGTTAGATTATCTGGATGGACGAGACCTAATATCATGAGCCCTTTAAAAGCAGAGAGTTTTCTCTGGTCGGTATTGGAAGAGAAAGTCAGAGGAACTCAAAGCGCGACAATGAGTCCATTGCTGGCTTTGAGGATGGAGGCCACTGCACCTGACAAAGCAGGAGGCTGGCCTCCAGTATCAGAGGGCGGCCCCTGGCTGGGAGCCAGCAAGGAAGTGGAGCTCCTAGACCCACAGCTGCAAGGAACTGGGTTATGCCAACAACCTGAACAAGCTGGGAAGTGGATTCTTCCCTGGACTCTTCAGATAAGCACCCAGCATGACCAACATCTTGATTTCAGCTGAGTGGAGAACCCAGTTGAGTCCATGTGGACTTCTAACCTTCTACCGCGAGACAGTAAATGGGTGTTGATTTAAGACTCCAAGTTTGTGGTGATTTGTTATACAGACTGAAAGACTAATACAATCAGTTTTGCATCACTATGCAGCTGGCTTTCATTCTGTTAGATGTTTCTAGATCCAGCTTGTTTCCTCATAAGATTCCTACAATGGTTCTTTGCCCTCCAGAGGGTGGCACCATGCTCTGGGTGCCTCCAATCCTGGCTCTTCTTATTGTTCCTGACTCTGTGGTCTACACTGAGAACCTTCTCAGTTTCAAAACATTAAAAGTTTAATTGCTAAATGTAAGGGGAACATCAGCCATTGCAGGTGAGGAAAGCGGAGGCCTACACTCAGCTCGGTCACAGCTCTGGGTGGGCTCTCGCCTCCCAGGGGAAGAGATGGTGCCTGAGACTGGGGCCTCATGGGATAGCGCTTGTCACTGTAAAACAAAAAACAAACTTCTACCCAGACTTAACCTTCAGTCTCTTGATCTTTATTTTTATAAAATCCTCTAGTGCTCTTCCGTCTGTCCACAGGTACGTAATTACTTAGCATAAGAGCATTTCCCAAGAGCCTGCTGTACACACACACACACTTCTGATAGATTTGCTGAATTAAAGTCCCAGAGCAGAGGAGTTTGCTCAGGTGCCCAAGTAATCAACCCCAAGAAGGTTTGAAATGAGAAGAGGAAGCCTCCCCTAGGTGGCTGGAAGCCATAAGATGTGGGACCCTGGCCTGGAGGCTGAGGAAGGGCCTCTGAGGGTGAAACCGGGTGAGGGAAGGGTCTGATCCCAAGGGCCAACAGCAAATCCCATAGAAGCACTGACTCTTGAGCTAGTCCAGAGGCAGAAATCACTCTGAAAAGCTCTCAGTTTTGTTCTAATTCCATCCTCAGCAGCAGCTTTGGGACATCAACTGCTGATTGGGGACTGTGTGTATGGTGTGGCATATGGGACAGACATGGGGGTGTCCAGCTCCCTGGCTGCTTGCAGGCTGGGCTCTTTCACACCCTGAGGCCCTGCTTCTCCCTGTTCTTTCCTCCCTCCCTCCTTTCCACCAGGCAGTGCTCAACGATTTGACAGGGAGTAGGTTGTCCTGGCATTGAGAATGAGTCCCTGAAGTTCTTCCCTCCTCTTGCCTCCCTTTACCCATAAAACATCCAGAACCCTACTTCCTGCTTTTGCTGATGAGAACCGTTCATTTCTGGAACCAATCAGTTATTTTTGCTTTAATGAGCTGTTGTCTTTTCTTGCTGGGAAAAATCCCATCAGGCCCTTAACTCCATTTTCTTTTTCTTGGAATGCAATCCCGTGCCTCTGGGAGCCCAACTCTCTCTTGATTGGGCAATCTTGGCTTCTTTATGTGGGTCCAAGGCCCAGAGTGTACGTGCTGAGGGACTGGGGGAGGGAGGGAGGGTCAGTCCAGGGCCACTGCCTGTGCACACTCCCCACAGGAAGCCCCTCAGTCAGGCTCCCGGGAATCCTTGGACTTCCTGAATTTGCTCTGCCCCTTTCTGTGGGTTTGGGAATGAGCCTGTGGCTTTATGGCTTTGCTTGTAATCAAGAAATCTGTCTAGACCCACAAAATTTCTTCTGCTCCAGGGCTGGGCCCCTTCTGAAACCTGAAAAATGCAGTAGTGTCAGAGTGAGTTATACAAATGGGTGTAAACGTGTGGGTGAAGATAAGCTTGTGTGTGATCACAGGAATTCTAAGTGTGACTTCACCATTCCCCATTTCACTCAAGCAGGAAACTTGACACTCCAAGCCTGAGCAGCCAGGAGGGTGAGGGAAGGAAGGGAAGGAGAGAGGACCCGGGTTTGGGGTGGGGGTGGGGGTGTCTTCACAGGCTGCACTTCTCAAACACCACCTCACAGACAAGCGGAAAATGGTGGGGGATGTGTGTGGGAGGTTAGGAATCCATCTGTCTTTCACCCTCCTGCCTGCCAGGACACAGCCCAGGAGGCTCAAAGGTGGGGGAAGCTTTTCTAGAGGCATACCCTTCACCTACAAACCTGTTTCTGGAAGGCCCTGATGTCTCCTTCCAGTAAGAGACTTTGCCCATTCCCCTCGGAGCACCACCCCCAGAACTTGCTAGTCCTGGCTTTGCAAGATGATCTCTTTCCTCCAACCTCTTCCAGAGAGAAGTCCTTTTGGCAGGGGCCAGCCAGCTACCCTCCCCTCCTCTTTTCCTCACCTGTGAAACAGATAATGGTAGTGTGGAGGCTTGGGAAAGTGGCAGCCTGGCTAGGGTGAGCTCTATTTTCCAGAACTCCTTTTCCTGGCTGTTTCCCATTGGGGTGGGGATGGGGGTCACAGAGAAGCTCTGGGAGGCTGGGAGGGTGGAAGGAAAGGCAGCCCCTATGTAGCTCACACGCTGCTGTTGCTCAGCAGCTCACCTCATCCCTCTGAGACAGCAGCCAGGCCTCAACAGCCCCACCCGGCCTGGATCCTCCTTCAGCTGCCCCGACTCCTGGGCCAGGTGTGTGTGCTCAGCTCCACGATGAAGGGTTCTGGCTTCTGCAGGTTGCCCACGCCACCCAGCTTGGAAGCAACAAGAACTGCTATGGGTTTCTGTCCATCCTCATGGCCACCAGTTTGTGTGCATGGATTCTGACTCACTCTGATCTCAACTCCTTTACATCCACATTCCTTTCCCACTTACCTCCCACCATGGGCTTCCAGCTCCAGCAGCAGATGTGAAGACAGCGGCTTTACAGACTGCTTAACCAGGGCCACAGCAGCCTAAGATCAAATCCCTGTGACAAAGCCCTTTATAGGCATCTCTATCTGTCTTCTGGGTTCTGCTTCTCTGACTGCATGCTGGCTGATACAGGCTGTGTTACTGATATGTGCTACCTCACATGGCAGGAGATGGAAGGAGCCCAGGTCCTTCAAAGTATTTGGTTCACTATAAAGCAGTGGGTCCCAAACTTGAGTTTGCATTTGTGTCACCTGGAAGGCTCATTAAAACTCAGATGGCTGGGTCCCACCCCTCAGAATTTAAGTAACCAGCTTCAATAGGGAGTGCTTTTGGGGTTTCTCCCCTTGAGGGACCCTCTTCCCTGTGAATAAACCATCAAAAAGAGAGCACACTTAGGAACAAACTTCTTATGAATTTAATATTTTTAGGGATGAGAAAAACTGAAGCCAAGGGGAAAAATGGCAGGGTGTTCACCAGCAGAAAGGCACAGGGTCCCAGAGATATGGACTGGGATGCCTGTACTGCAAGCTCATCAGGAACTTATTCTCTCTTTGTCTGTATCAGAACATTCTGGAACCACAACTCCTTAAACCCGAATTTGCTGTTGTTCCTTCTTCTTCACCTCTGCCCAGATGTCTGACAGGTCCTGGATAAACTGCTGGATCTAATAAGGCAAGGGGACTGGAGTTAACCCGAGCTAGCAACAGGCCACCCAATCCAAAAATGGAGCATGTCACCCTGGAAGGATCACCATCCTCAGGTGACTGGTTCTTGAGGACACTTGCCCTTACTTGACAATCCTTCTAGTTGAAACGGAGTATCAGGCTTAGCAGATGAGAAGCACTACATAGGAAAGGAGCTGGGAACTCCTTGAGGAAAACACAGTGGTGATGTGAAGGGAGGACAGAGAAGATCCTGAGCAGGCTCTGGGGCCAGACACATTTGGCAGGCAGGGTCCGGCCAGTGTTGCGGCAGGCAGCTGACATACCAAAAATGCTAGAGACCAGGAGATCTCTGAAATTAAAGGGTCTGTTGAGCCTTTACAGATGTAGCCAGAAAAAGAACTGAGTCCTGGAACAGGAAGGTTCTGCTTCACCAGCAGCAAGGCCAGTTAACAGAAGCAACTTATCCACCAGACTCAAGAAATGGGACATTTATAAGGAAAGAAAGTTCTTTAAATTTACATCGACTATAGGAAAGATAGGTGGGTTAATACAAAGCAGAGAAAGTCCTGGAGTAGGTGTCGTAACATACAGAAGGCTTGAGGATTGGTTGTTGATGATGGTCAGACACTGGTCACGTACAAGGGGGACGCGGTGGTCCTGGGGACTTTCTAGATGATTGCTGAAATGACCTCATCCAGGAACATGGAGTGTCTGGTTAGCTACAGCCCAAGGCTATTGACTGATTACCTTCCCTGTCTCTCTCCCTCATTCTCCAGCTCTTATGTCGCTTAATTTAGGACATTTCAGAATTTCTCCTTATCATGGCTCTCCACAATTTAACAGCCATCAAGGTGGTCATTTGTCTGAAAATCAGAACTGATGCTCAGTATGATAATCTTGGGTGATAAAGGGAAGTTTAGATTCTACTCACTAGCTTCTGTTTTAAAAAACATGCAATCAGTATGACATGGTGGAAAGGGTCCTGCCTTCCAAGTCAGAGGCCCTGGGGTCCTGACACAGCTCTGGGTAAATCACTTGATCTTTCACAGTTTCTTCATCTTTAAAAAAGGAAGAGGGAGGAATGGTTGGCCTAGATAGCATCTAAGAATTCAGTTCTAAAGTGTCTCCTTTTCAAGAATGTGCTGGAGATGTGCTACACAGACTGTCCAAAATTCTCAACAACCCTGTCAGTCACAAATAGTGGTATTATTACCAATATATTCCCATATGGCAAAAGAGGAAACAAAGAGTCAATGAATTAAAGTAACTTTCCTGAGGTTAGAGAGATGACAAGTCCAGCATTTCCCAAACTATGTTCTTATACTAAGTAATTACATACCCCAAAAAGGGTTCCGGGGTCAAGAAAGTTTAGAATGTTATCTGCTTGGAGAGTCTCAACTATAGCAAAGACTCTTCAAAATCCTATATTTAAAAACCATCTTTGTTTAACTTAAGAGTTTTCTAAATGTATTAGCCCGCAGAGTCCTTTTATTCTCCCATAGGAAGCTTACTAACCTTGGAATTCCAGGTTTGCCAAGCACAGTTTGGAAAATGCTGCTCCAGTTTGAGCTTTATTCAGGGATAATGCTGGGCCTTCCATGCATGACACAGTATATTGAATTCAAATTGTTTTGGCCTTTTGCAGATTCACCTTTCTTCAGTTGTACTGTGGTACTCTGCTCCTAATTCTAGATAACTGGCTGCTTTCTAAAGTCTGTGCTTGGATCTGTTATAGGGATGTTTTTGACAACATTGTCCACTGAGTATCTCTGAAGCCTCCTTGAGAAGTTTCAGCTGGAGCTAAGTGCTGGAAAAGGTTGACTCTCTTTGAGGAAACCTTGTTTTCTTATTTGCTATAAGAACTGTGTGTTGCTTTTCCTTCTGACTACCAGGAAGCTCAGAGCCAACTACTGAGCCAGGACCCTGCTGAACCACTGTCCTCTATAAGCCAAGAATCTACATATTTCTCTCTCTTGCCTTGACCTCAGATTTTAGCTTATATTTTCCCAGGGCCTGGTTTTTTATTTTTCAGGCCACTTGATCATGTGTATTTCTGTCAGTAGGCTCATATCCAATGAGAATGAACTGGGGTATTATTAAATAACATTTGGGCCATAGGAAGCATTCCTGTAGAGAAAAATCAAGGTTGTGAGGGAGTCAGAAAGCTCAAAATTTGGAGTAGACAGGTTGGGAGCAATGGTCTGAGCAGGGAATGATGGGTCAGGGGGCAGGTTGCTGGATATCGGCACCTCCTTCCCCACCTTTCTTTAGCTGTTGTAAAGAAAGGAGCCTGAGGACGTCCAGGACCTCCCACTGCTGGGGAGAGGGGTCTGCAAGTCCAAACTCCATTTACAATAATACTAATTGTCTTTTTCACTCTTATTCTCTCACACAGTGGCTTTCACCAGACTGGATGTTTCCATGACATAGGCTATTACACAGACTGTGTGCAAAGCAGACATGAGAATCCACTTGTCCTCTATGAAGCCAAATATTAAATAGATTTGCAAAAGTTTCAAATAATGCTGCTTGCCCCATAAAATGCTTTTTGAAAATGTGTTTTCTTTGAAAATGCTATTTATGTTAACACACTTATTTTTACATGCATTAAATATTTTTTAATTATTCTATTTGAGTTTCTAATATGGTAAATAGTTATAACCCATATAAACAAAAGTTCTCTTGATGTCTTCAGTATATTTTGAGTGTAAAGGTATCCTAACACCAAACGGTGTGAGAAGTGCTGCCTCAGAGCAAACTTTCTTACAAATTCCTTTTGGAGTCTTTGAACTGTCAAGGATTCTGCTCTAACATGCCTGAAGATACAGACTGATTCTTTGGGAAATTCTTCTGGAAGGTCAGCATGTGAAACCCTTTGTATTAAATGAGTTTCACATTTTTTTTGTTAAATAGGGGGAGGTGCCTCTCAGTCATTTGGTTCATTTGAAACATACATGATGGCTGTGTTTCATATTCACCCACCAAATACTCACTGAGTGCCTACTATGTGCCAGGCATTGTTTGAGACACCGCAGATACAGCAGGGAACAAAGCAAACATCCCAGTCCTTAAGCGCTTACTTTCTATTTCACAGTAGAGCCAAAGGTTTTTGCCAAAGGAACAAATACTTTCTAATGGTTCTCTGCAGGTTACAAGCTACATGGCTAACACACCGACCAGTGCGGAGTTTCCCAAATTGCAGGATACGTGTACCTGTGGTCAGGAGTGAGATGAATTTAGGTGGCACATGGACCTGACATCAAATAGCTTTGAATCATACAGTGCACAAGCTATTTCCTTTTCAACTTCCTTTTGATTACTTCAAAGAAAAAAAATCTCAGATTGACAATAACATGACTCTAACATGCCTCTGAATTTACTAATTCATCCCCCCCACACCCCATTTTCTCTTTTCCCGAAGAGTGGGCCTCAAGCACAAGCCATCACCATCTCACTCGAATTTAATAAGATCGCTTTGCCCAACTAATGAATTCAGTAGTGGGTCCCTGCTACCGCCTGTTTTGCTGGGGCAACAGGTCTCAGCGATAATGTGGTGGTTCTCAAAGTGTGGAACCTCTACCAGTACCATTACCTGGGAACTTGTTGAAAATGGAAATTCATGGGTTCTCATCTCGGACTTACCGAGTCAGAGACTCTGGGGCTGGGGTCCTGCAACATGCGTCAGTCCCAGGTGAGTCTGATGCTATTAAAATTTGAGAACCCCTGCTCTGTTAGGTTCATTCCTCCACTCAACCAACTGGGCCCCCACCTCGGCTCAGGAAACCCAGCTGGCGGGACACTGGCGCCTCCTCTTACCTTGTCCAGCTGCTTGTGCGTGTCCTCCAGGGTCACGTCCACGTCGGTCGTCTCCTTCAGCTGCTTGCTCACAATCTGGAAGAGGTTCAGCGTTGCCATCTTAATGGTGCCAAGCAAGAGGGTCTTCTTGGCAGCAGTGTTCTGGATGTGCGCCCAGCGAGATTCCTGGAGACGGGGGCAAGGCGTGAGCACGGTGCGCGTGCGTGCGTGCATGCGTGTGTGCGTCCCTCACTCACCCAGCGCCCAGACGCCCTCTGCCCAACGCCGGCCGCTCACCCAGATGATGACATCACTGCGCGCGCGGTCGAAGCGCATTTGCAGGCGTGCGAGCTCATTGTTGTGCTGCAGGATCTCGTTGTCCTTCTCCTCCATGTAGCGCGCCAGCTGCGCCTTGGCGCGCTCGATCTTCTCCTGGCCCTCCTGCGCCGACCGCATGAGGTCGTGGTGCATGGTCACCAAGGTCTTGTAGCGCGCGATCACCTCGTGGATCTCTTCGAACTGCAGTCAGGGTCTCAGGTCACTGCACCGCTGCCCTGGGGACCTGACACAGCCTCCCTGCCCCCCAACTTGAGGCACAAGCCCCTCGGCCTACAGGGAGGCCCTGGGCCAAAGTCAAGGGGCAGAGGCCGTGAGGACGTTGGTGTCCTGCTGCTTGCTCCGCCAGGGATAGTATGCACTGTGCACTTGGACCTGGGGTTCTCAGTCTTGACCGCATGTTAGAGTAACCCAGGAGCTTTACAAAGCATACCTGCCAGGCTCCATCCCCAAAATTTGGGTTAAGGAACAGATCTTGGGTAGTCCCTGGCATCTGAATTTTCAAGAAGTTCCCTGGGGTGTTTCTAGGGTCGAGACTTGCTGGCAGGAGGGTGGAGTTGGGGGTAGGGGTTGCATTTTGAGATGTCTACCAAGGCAATAATTATACTACTCAGCAAATGTACCAAGAACCACTTACAAGCAGGGAACTGTGTGCAATGCTAGGGACAGAGCAGGAGATAAGAAAGCCAGACCCTGCTGTTATGGAGCCTACAACTTGGGGTGGTGTGGAGGGAAGGCAGACAGACAAGCAAATAGTCAGTTACAGCTCAGAGTGATAAGCACTATCTATAATGGGCTGCACGCAGACGGGGCAATATCTTCAACATGGTGCTCTTTGGTATCTGTTTGACATTTGCTAAGGTCCCCCTCCAAAGGGGGCTGGAGAGGGTACTGGCAGGGTGGGTGGCCTGCCAGGCTCAGCTGCCTTCTCCAGCATGGTCCCCACTTGGGCCTTAACTTACAAGCCCCTCTCAGAACAGAAGCCCTGTCAGCCTTCCTCTTTAGAAGGCAGTGTAAGCCCAGTTCCAGGATGCCAACTCGCCTCCCCAGGGTTTATCAAAGTGTGCCTTCCAGCCACCCAGGGGACACTCCCTGAATACTTTCTCCAGCTCATGACATTTCCAGCGATAGACTGGTGTTCCAGGAACTGCCCTGCTGTCCTTTCCCCAAATATGCCTCTGTGGAGAAGGGTCACCCAACTCAACATTAGAGGAGGTAGGAATAGCCAGTAAAGGTTTTCTGGGAAAGGAGGGCTGACATGAGACCCGAGGTATGAATTGAAGACAGACAGCCAAGGCAGGTGGGGGAAGGTGAAGTTTACAGGTGCAGGGAACAGCCTGGGTAAGGATGGGGTATGCGTGCCATGTTCAAGATGATCAAGAGAGTGTAGTATGAATAGCCTGAGTTCAAGATGGAGAGACAAACCTAGAGAAGTAAAAAAAATAGTACCCAGTAAACCCTGAAAAGAAGTGTGGACTTCATCTGTTGAAGGATTTTTAGAAGCAGAGAGAGAACTCCATGTCTGCATTTCTGAAAACTCACTTGACACATGATGCAGCAGCTTACAACTTAAAATGAATGGACTCCATCAGAGCCCCCAGGAGCTCCACTCCCAGACTTAATGCTGATGTCAAGAGGACTCAGGTGCCAAACTGAAGAGGCTCCCACTGTCCAAAGATGCGACACTTTGAACATCAGTAGGAATAAATGAAAGGATTAAAACATATCAAATATGTTTGAAATTCATGTCTCCCTGTTCTTTCCTCCCTCCCTCCTTTCCACCAGGCAGTGCTCAACGATTTGACAGGGAGTAGGTTGTCCTGGCATTGAGAATGAGTCCCTGAAGTTCTTCCCTCCTCTTGCCTCCCTTTACCCATAAAACATCCAGAACCCTACTTCCTGCTTTTGCTGATGAGAACCGTTCATTTCTGGAACCAATCAGTTATTTTTGCTTTAATGAGCTGTTGTCTTTTCTTGCTGGGAAAAATCCCATCAGGCCCTTAACTCCATTTTCTTTTTCTTGGAATGCAATCCCGTGCCTCTGGGAGCCCAACTCTCTCTTGATTGGGCAATCTTGGCTTCTTTATGTGGGTCCAAGGCCCAGAGTGTACGTGCTGAGGGACTGGGGGAGGGAGGGAGGGTCAGTCCAGGGCCACTGCCTGTGCACACTCCCCACAGGAAGCCCCTCAGTCAGGCTCCCGGGAATCCTTGGACTTCCTGAATTTGCTCTGCCCCTTTCTGTGGGTTTGGGAATGAGCCTGTGGCTTTATGGCTTTGCTTGTAATCAAGAAATCTGTCTAGACCCACAAAATTTCTTCTGCTCCAGGGCTGGGCCCCTTCTGAAACCTGAAAAATGCAGTAGTGTCAGAGTGAGTTATACAAATGGGTGTAAACGTGTGGGTGAAGATAAGCTTGTGTGTGATCACAGGAATTCTAAGTGTGACTTCACCATTCCCCATTTCACTCAAGCAGGAAACTTGACACTCCAAGCCTGAGCAGCCAGGAGGGAGAGGGAAGGAAGGGAAGGAGAGAGGACCCGGGTTTGGGGTGGGGGTGGGGGTGTCTTCACAGGCTGCACTTCTCAAACACCACCTCACAGACAAGCGGAAAATGGTGGGGGATGTGTGTGGGAGGTTAGGAATCCATCTGTCTTTCACCCTCCTGCCTGCCAGGACACAGCCCAGGAGGCTCAAAGGTGGGGGAAGCTTTTCTAGAGGCATACCCTTCACCTACAAACCTGTTTCTGGAAGGCCCTGATGTCTCCTTCCAGTAAGAGACTTTGCCCATTCCCCTCGGAGCACCACCCCCAGAACTTGCTAGTCCTGGCTTTGCAAGATGATCTCTTTCCTCCAACCTCTTCCAGAGAGAAGTCCTTTTGGCAGGGGCCAGCCAGCTACCCTCCCCTCCTCTTTTCCTCACCTGTGAAACAGATAATGGTAGTGTGGAGGCTTGGGAAAGTGGCAGCCTGGCTAGGGTGAGCTCTATTTTCCAGAACTCCTTTTCCTGGCTGTTTCCCATTGGGGTGGGGATGGGGGTCACAGAGAAGCTCTGGGAGGCTGGGAGGGTGGAAGGAAAGGCAGCCCCTATGTAGCTCACACGCTGCTGTTGCTCAGCAGCTCACCTCATCCCTCTGAGACAGCAGCCAGGCCTCAACAGCCCCACCCGGCCTGGATCCTCCTTCAGCTGCCCCGACTCCTGGGCCAGGTGTGTGTGCTCAGCTCCACGATGAAGGGTTCTGGCTTCTGCAGGTTGCCCACGCCACCCAGCTTGGAAGCAACAAGAACTGCTATGGGTTTCTGTCCATCCTCATGGCCACCAGTTTGTGTGCATGGATTCTGACTCACTCTGATCTCAACTCCTTTACATCCACATTCCTTTCCCACTTACCTCCCACCATGGGCTTCCAGCTCCAGCAGCAGATGTGAAGACAGCGGCTTTACAGACTGCTTAACCAGGGCCACAGCAGCCTAAGATCAAATCCCTGTGACAAAGCCCTTTATAGGCATCTCTATCTGTCTTCTGGGTTCTGCTTCTCTGACTGCATGCTGGCTGATACAGGCTGTGTTACTGATATGTGCTACCTCACATGGCAGGAGATGGAAGGAGCCCAGGTCCTTCAAAGTATTTGGTTCACTATAAAGCAGTGGGTCCCAAACTTGAGTTTGCATTTGTGTCACCTGGAAGGCTCATTAAAACTCAGATGGCTGGGTCCCACCCCTCAGAATTTAAGTAACCAGCTTCAATAGGGAGTGCTTTTGGGGTTTCTCCCCTTGAGGGACCCTCTTCCCTGTGAATAAACCATCAAAAAGAGAGCACACTTAGGAACAAACTTCTTATGAATTTAATATTTTTAGGGATGAGAAAAACTGAAGCCAAGGGGAAAAATGGCAGGGTGTTCACCAGCAGAAAGGCACAGGGTCCCAGAGATATGGACTGGGATGCCTGTACTGCAAGCTCATCAGGAACTTATTCTCTCTTTGTCTGTATCAGAACATTCTGGAACCACAACTCCTTAAACCCGAATTTGCTGTTGTTCCTTCTTCTTCACCTCTGCCCAGATGTCTGACAGGTCCTGGATAAACTGCTGGATCTAATAAGGCAAGGGGACTGGAGTTAACCCGAGCTAGCAACAGGCCACCCAATCCAAAAATGGAGCATGTCACCCTGGAAGGATCACCATCCTCAGGTGACTGGTTCTTGAGGACACTTGCCCTTACTTGACAATCCTTCTAGTTGAAACGGAGTATCAGGCTTAGCAGATGAGAAGCACTACATAGGAAAGGAGCTGGGAACTCCTTGAGGAAAACACAGTGGTGATGTGAAGGGAGGACAGAGAAGATCCTGAGCAGGCTCTGGGGCCAGACACATTTGGCAGGCAGGGTCCGGCCAGTGTTGCGGCAGGCAGCTGACATACCAAAAATGCTAGAGACCAGGAGATCTCTGAAATTAAAGGGTCTGTTGAGCCTTTACAGATGTAGCCAGAAAAAGAACTGAGTCCTGGAACAGGAAGGTTCTGCTTCACCAGCAGCAAGGCCAGTTAACAGAAGCAACTTATCCACCAGACTCAAGAAATGGGACATTTATAAGGAAAGAAAGTTCTTTAAATTTACATCGACTATAGGAAAGATAGGTGGGTTAATACAAAGCAGAGAAAGTCCTGGAGTAGGTGTCGTAACATACAGAAGGCTTGAGGATTGGTTGTTGATGATGGTCAGACACTGGTCACGTACAAGGGGGACGCGGTGGTCCTGGGGACTTTCTAGATGATTGCTGAAATGACCTCATCCAGGAACATGGAGTGTCTGGTTAGCTACAGCCCAAGGCTATTGACTGATTACCTTCCCTGTCTCTCTCCCTCATTCTCCAGCTCTTATGTCGCTTAATTTAGGACATTTCAGAATTTCTCCTTATCATGGCTCTCCACAATTTAACAGCCATCAAGGTGGTCATTTGTCTGAAAATCAGAACTGATGCTCAGTATGATAATCTTGGGTGATAAAGGGAAGTTTAGATTCTACTCACTAGCTTCTGTTTTAAAAAACATGCAATCAGTATGACATGGTGGAAAGGGTCCTGCCTTCCAAGTCAGAGGCCCTGGGGTCCTGACACAGCTCTGGGTAAATCACTTGATCTTTCACAGTTTCTTCATCTTTAAAAAAGGAAGAGGGAGGAATGGTTGGCCTAGATAGCATCTAAGAATTCAGTTCTAAAGTGTCTCCTTTTCAAGAATGTGCTGGAGATGTGCTACACAGACTGTCCAAAATTCTCAACAACCCTGTCAGTCACAAATAGTGGTATTATTACCAATATATTCCCATATGGCAAAAGAGGAAACAAAGAGTCAATGAATTAAAGTAACTTTCCTGAGGTTAGAGAGATGACAAGTCCAGCATTTCCCAAACTATGTTCTTATACTAAGTAATTACATACCCCAAAAAGGGTTCCGGGGTCAAGAAAGTTTAGAATGTTATCTGCTTGGAGAGTCTCAACTATAGCAAAGACTCTTCAAAATCCTATATTTAAAAACCATCTTTGTTTAACTTAAGAGTTTTCTAAATGTATTAGCCCGCAGAGTCCTTTTATTCTCCCATAGGAAGCTTACTAACCTTGGAATTCCAGGTTTGCCAAGCACAGTTTGGAAAATGCTGCTCCAGTTTGAGCTTTATTCAGGGATAATGCTGGGCCTTCCATGCATGACACAGTATATTGAATTCAAATTGTTTTGGCCTTTTGCAGATTCACCTTTCTTCAGTTGTACTGTGGTACTCTGCTCCTAATTCTAGATAACTGGCTGCTTTCTAAAGTCTGTGCTTGGATCTGTTATAGGGATGTTTTTGACAACATTGTCCACTGAGTATCTCTGAAGCCTCCTTGAGAAGTTTCAGCTGGAGCTAAGTGCTGGAAAAGGTTGACTCTCTTTGAGGAAACCTTGTTTTCTTATTTGCTATAAGAACTGTGTGTTGCTTTTCCTTCTGACTACCAGGAAGCTCAGAGCCAACTACTGAGCCAGGACCCTGCTGAACCACTGTCCTCTATAAGCCAAGAATCTACATATTTCTCTCTCTTGCCTTGACCTCAGATTTTAGCTTATATTTTCCCAGGGCCTGGTTTTTTATTTTTCAGGCCACTTGATCATGTGTATTTCTGTCAGTAGGCTCATATCCAATGAGAATGAACTGGGGTATTATTAAATAACATTTGGGCCATAGGAAGCATTCCTGTAGAGAAAAATCAAGGTTGTGAGGGAGTCAGAAAGCTCAAAATTTGGAGTAGACAGGTTGGGAGCAATGGTCTGAGCAGGGAATGATGGGTCAGGGGGCAGGTTGCTGGATATCGGCACCTCCTTCCCCACCTTTCTTTAGCTGTTGTAAAGAAAGGAGCCTGAGGACGTCCAGGACCTCCCACTGCTGGGGAGAGGGGTCTGCAAGTCCAAACTCCATTTACAATAATACTAATTGTCTTTTTCACTCTTATTCTCTCACACAGTGGCTTTCACCAGACTGGATGTTTCCATGACATAGGCTATTACACAGACTGTGTGCAAAGCAGACATGAGAATCCACTTGTCCTCTATGAAGCCAAATATTAAATAGATTTGCAAAAGTTTCAAATAATGCTGCTTGCCCCATAAAATGCTTTTTGAAAATGTGTTTTCTTTGAAAATGCTATTTATGTTAACACACTTATTTTTACATGCATTAAATATTTTTTAATTATTCTATTTGAGTTTCTAATATGGTAAATAGTTATAACCCATATAAACAAAAGTTCTCTTGATGTCTTCAGTATATTTTGAGTGTAAAGGTATCCTAACACCAAACGGTGTGAGAAGTGCTGCCTCAGAGCAAACTTTCTTACAAATTCCTTTTGGAGTCTTTGAACTGTCAAGGATTCTGCTCTAACATGCCTGAAGATACAGACTGATTCTTTGGGAAATTCTTCTGGAAGGTCAGCATGTGAAACCCTTTGTATTAAATGAGTTTCACATTTTTTTTGTTAAATAGGGGGAGGTGCCTCTCAGTCATTTGGTTCATTTGAAACATACATGATGGCTGTGTTTCATATTCACCCACCAAATACTCACTGAGTGCCTACTATGTGCCAGGCATTGTTTGAGACACCGCAGATACAGCAGGGAACAAAGCAAACATCCCAGTCCTTAAGCGCTTACTTTCTATTTCACAGTAGAGCCAAAGGTTTTTGCCAAAGGAACAAATACTTTCTAATGGTTCTCTGCAGGTTACAAGCTACATGGCTAACACACCGACCAGTGCGGAGTTTCCCAAATTGCAGGATACGTGTACCTGTGGTCAGGAGTGAGATGAATTTAGGTGGCACATGGACCTGACATCAAATAGCTTTGAATCATACAGTGCACAAGCTATTTCCTTTTCAACTTCCTTTTGATTACTTCAAAGAAAAAAAATCTCAGATTGACAATAACATGACTCTAACATGCCTCTGAATTTACTAATTCATCCCCCCCACACCCCATTTTCTCTTTTCCCGAAGAGTGGGCCTCAAGCACAAGCCATCACCATCTCACTCGAATTTAATAAGATCGCTTTGCCCAACTAATGAATTCAGTAGTGGGTCCCTGCTACCGCCTGTTTTGCTGGGGCAACAGGTCTCAGCGATAATGTGGTGGTTCTCAAAGTGTGGAACCTCTACCAGTACCATTACCTGGGAACTTGTTGAAAATGGAAATTCATGGGTTCTCATCTCGGACTTACCGAGTCAGAGACTCTGGGGCTGGGGTCCTGCAACATGCGTCAGTCCCAGGTGAGTCTGATGCTATTAAAATTTGAGAACCCCTGCTCTGTTAGGTTCATTCCTCCACTCAACCAACTGGGCCCCCACCTCGGCTCAGGAAACCCAGCTGGCGGGACACTGGCGCCTCCTCTTACCTTGTCCAGCTGCTTGTGCGTGTCCTCCAGGGTCACGTCCACGTCGGTCGTCTCCTTCAGCTGCTTGCTCACAATCTGGAAGAGGTTCAGCGTTGCCATCTTAATGGTGCCAAGCAAGAGGGTCTTCTTGGCAGCAGTGTTCTGGATGTGCGCCCAGCGAGATTCCTGGAGACGGGGGCAAGGCGTGAGCACGGTGCGCGTGCGTGCGTGCATCCCTCACTCACCCAGCGCCCAGACGCCCTCTGCCCAACGCCGGCCGCTCACCCAGATGATGACATCACTGCGCGCGCGGTCGAAGCGCATTTGCAGGCGTGCGAGCTCATTGTTGTGCTGCAGGATCTCGTTGTCCTTCTCCTCCATGTAGCGCGCCAGCTGCGCCTTGGCGCGCTCGATCTTCTCCTGGCCCTCCTGCGCCGACCGCATGAGGTCGTGGTGCATGGTCACCAAGGTCTTGTAGCGCGCGATCACCTCGTGGATCTCTTCGAACTGCAGTCAGGGTCTCAGGTCACTGCACCGCTGCCCTGGGGACCTGACACAGCCTCCCTGCCCCCCAACTTGAGGCACAAGCCCCTCGGCCTACAGGGAGGCCCTGGGCCAAAGTCAAGGGGCAGAGGCCGTGAGGACGTTGGTGTCCTGCTGCTTGCTCCGCCAGGGATAGTATGCACTGTGCACTTGGACCTGGGGTTCTCAGTCTTGACCGCATGTTAGAGTAACCCAGGAGCTTTACAAAGCATACCTGCCAGGCTCCATCCCCAAAATTTGGGTTAAGGAACAGATCTTGGGTAGTCCCTGGCATCTGAATTTTCAAGAAGTTCCCTGGGGTGTTTCTAGGGTCGAGACTTGCTGGCAGGAGGGTGGAGTTGGGGGTAGGGGTTGCATTTTGAGATGTCTACCAAGGCAATAATTATACTACTCAGCAAATGTACCAAGAACCACTTACAAGCAGGGAACTGTGTGCAATGCTAGGGACAGAGCAGGAGATAAGAAAGCCAGACCCTGCTGTTATGGAGCCTACAACTTGGGGTGGTGTGGAGGGAAGGCAGACAGACAAGCAAATAGTCAGTTACAGCTCAGAGTGATAAGCACTATCTATAATGGGCTGCACGCAGACGGGGCAATATCTTCAACATGGTGCTCTTTGGTATCTGTTTGACATTTGCTAAGGTCCCCCTCCAAAGGGGGCTGGAGAGGGTACTGGCAGGGTGGGTGGCCTGCCAGGCTCAGCTGCCTTCTCCAGCATGGTCCCCACTTGGGCCTTAACTTACAAGCCCCTCTCAGAACAGAAGCCCTGTCAGCCTTCCTCTTTAGAAGGCAGTGTAAGCCCAGTTCCAGGATGCCAACTCGCCTCCCCAGGGTTTATCAAAGTGTGCCTTCCAGCCACCCAGGGGACACTCCCTGAATACTTTCTCCAGCTCATGACATTTCCAGCGATAGACTGGTGTTCCAGGAACTGCCCTGCTGTCCTTTCCCCAAATATGCCTCTGTGGAGAAGGGTCACCCAACTCAACATTAGAGGAGGTAGGAATAGCCAGTAAAGGTTTTCTGGGAAAGGAGGGCTGACATGAGACCCGAGGTATGAATTGAAGACAGACAGCCAAGGCAGGTGGGGGAAGGTGAAGTTTACAGGTGCAGGGAACAGCCTGGGTAAGGATGGGGTATGCGTGCCATGTTCAAGATGATCAAGAGAGTGTAGTATGAATAGCCTGAGTTCAAGATGGAGAGACAAACCTAGAGAAGTAAAAAAAATAGTACCCAGTAAACCCTGAAAAGAAGTGTGGACTTCATCTGTTGAAGGATTTTTAGAAGCAGAGAGAGAACTCCATGTCTGCATTTCTGAAAACTCACTTGACACATGATGCAGCAGCTTACAACTTAAAATGAATGGACTCCATCAGAGCCCCCAGGAGCTCCACTCCCAGACTTAATGCTGATGTCAAGAGGACTCAGGTGCCAAACTGAAGAGGCTCCCACTGTCCAAAGATGCGACACTTTGAACATCAGTAGGAATAAATGAAAGGATTAAAACATATCAAATATGTTTGAAATTCATGCATTCATAATGATCCTAACAACATTACAGGTTACTTTTGGAGGGTCTTGGAGAACCAACTCATTATTTCAAAAACTAATAAAGAATCAAGCATTTAGCAAGTTTTTTCTTTAAGATCCACATAGTGACCAATTAGCTGATGAAAGGAAGACTCTTTACGAAGTCCTTTTCTTTCTGGTAGTATTCTAGCTAATAGATGAAGAAGGGATGGTAGAATATCTTCAGTACTCTATATAGTCTTCTGCCCACTTTGTCCGTATCTGTCCCCCACTACAGAGGAAACCAGAATTGTGACTTCTATCACCAAAGATTCATTTTAGCTGATTTTAAATGTATCCGTGGAACAACACAGTATGTCCTCATTTATGCCTGGCTTCTTTTGATGAGCATAATAATGTCTGTGACACTTGAGAAGCCTATCAACCTATTTCTTGCAGGGACTTTATTTGGATCCTGATTGGAACAAACCAACTGTTCAAAAAGGATTTGTGCAATAACTAGGGAAATTTTAACTTCAACTTGGTATTTAACATTAAGGAATTACTATCAAATTTTTACTATGTGTGACTGGTATTGTGGCTATGTTTATTTAAAAAAAACCCTCTGTTTTCGAGCTACATACTGAAATACTTACGGACAAAAAAGTATCATTTGCTTCAAAGTGAAGGGGGTAGAACGTATGGGGCAAAAGATATGAGTTGATAATTGTTGGAATTAGGTGGCAAGTAGTGGGCATTCAGTCGACTATTCTGTCTACTTTTGTACATGTTTTGAAATTTCCCATAATACAAAGGTTTTTAAAAAAATATCATTGATCAGAAAAAGCAACTCACAAAAGGACTTGAACAATATTATGCATAGCTTATGAATATGTAATATGTTGCCAGAATAATAAGAACAAGCATGAGAATGAGAAATTAAGAAATTAGGATACTGGTTACCTCTGAGGAGAGGGGGAGAAGAATGGGGTTTGGAAGGGGTGGGGTACACAAAGGGTTTCAGTTGCTGGTAATGATTTAGTTAAAACAGAATCAGGGGCAAATGAGGGGAAATACTAACATTTGACAAAGCTGTTACATATTTCTTGGGTGCTGTTATATATTTCTTTTCAGTATGTTTAAAATGTTGTGAAAGAAATAAAAGAAGAAGGAAAGAGGGAGAAAGAAAGAGACAGAGAGGATCACACTGGCTATAGAATGCCAGACAGGCTGGGGTCCAGGAATAATGCAAAGTTGGCCTCCAGATGAGGTACACTGGTGGTAAAGGGGCAGGGGCTGGATTCCAGAAATACTTAGGAGGCAGAAGAGCCCAGATCTGCTGACAGATGGCTGCAGGGAGTCGGGGGGGGGGGAGTCAAGGATGAGGTTCGGGTTCTGGCAAGCTGTGGGTGGGGGGCTGCAGGTGGGTGGCCACACCAGAAGCAGGGCTGGCCTGAGGCTGGCAGGAAGCAGATGAGGGAAGTTGTGGACTCAATAAATTAGGCCTGAAGCTTAGGAGGGAGATATGGGCCAGTGGGATACAGGCCAATCTCCTCCGTGCTAAGACATACGTTTTACCAGCTCTGAATTCAAGTTGTATTTTATAACTTATCTGCTGATTTAATAGTTGTCTTTCTTCACTCCCCCACGCCAAAAAAACCCAAAAAAACCCAAAAACAACCCCCAATTATTCAATGAACAATTCATCATACCTTAGAATGGAGTACACAGCCTGGATTTGCGCCTCATGCATAAATAAATTAGGATAGTGGTTCTATGTGGAAATTGCCTGGACTTGAAAAGGTGTGCATCCTTTATCTCCCCACACCCCCAAAGGATATGGGTGCACACCCCAAGAAGGCATACATACCACACTACACTCTGGTGAGGATCCTGGGGGAAATAGGGTGGATAGCCACTGACACCCATGGGAGGCCCAGGGAATTGCTCAGGGAGAAAAATGGAGGGTCTGGGACAAAGACCTGGAGACTGTTTAAGGGAGGAGGTAGGAGAGGAACCCCAGAGAGGCCTGAGGAGAAAGGGTCGAAGGCAGGAAGAAAGTAGGACAGGGAGGGAGGGGTCCCAGGAGGAAGGGGTCCCACAGGAAAGGGCAAAGGTGTGTTTCAAGGGAGAGCATCCAGTGTGTCAAGTACTGCAGGCTGCATGGGTGGGAGGTGGGCAAAGAAGTCCCCTGAGCTCTGGCAACAGGACTTTAGGAGAATGGTTGTCACTGGCATTCTGGGGCCCACAGAGCAGTGCTTAGAAGAGAGGGCTCTGCCACTTACAAGCTGTGAGACCCTGAGCAGATTACCTAACCTCTCTGAACCTCCGCATCCTCCTCTGTAACAGGCTGAAATGACAGCTTTCCTCGGGGGTAGGGAGAGGACTGAGGGGGTTGCGTGTGCGTGTGTGTGTGAGGTTGTTGGGGGCAACACCTAGCTAGAGCCCTGCGTGAAGAAGCTCTCAGAGCTCTGCATTAGTCTGCATGCTTTTGCATTTTCTCTCCCTTCTTTTTCCCACTTAATATCAAATAAACAAAAAACACCAGGAAGATGGGAAGCAGGGACAGATGGAGGCCACAACCCAATGCAGGCAAAGCTTATTGTTGGTGCTCAAAAACAAAACCTCTTCCTCCCCGCCCCCCAACCACACACACACACACGTAGGCATAGACACACCACCCATACAGAGACACATTTGCACAGATGTCACTCACACAGATACAGCACCAGGCCCCAGCCCTCGAGAAACGAGTCCAGCCACACCAGGTGTCTTTTCCAACTTCCCTCCAGGGCTGAAGGCCTCTCCTCAGAGGGGGTCCCTGGCCTCCCCAGAGCCCCAGGCCTGGGGAAAAGGAGGTAGGGCCGTGGAAGGCCCCCACCCCGCCACACTAACCTCAGAGTGCTCCACCACCCTCTCTAGGTACTTGTTGAAGATGGAATAGTCCTGCAGCTTGGTGCTCAACCGCTGGTGCTCCAGCCGCAGGGCTGCCATCTCCTGCGTGGCCACGGCCAGCTCTCGAATGCACTGCCTCTTGAGCTCGCGCTCCTTGTTGGCTTTCTTCAGGGCACGGATCCGTTTCTGGTCATTCTCCTGGGGCCGGGGAGGTGGCTCCTGTCAGGCACTCGTCCTGCCCCCTGTGGGGTCCAGGCTGATGGTGCCTCCACAAGGCCTCTGTCTGCTGAGCTCAGGCCGCCCTGAAGACCGGCAGGGATTGATTGCTGGGCCCCCAGGTGGGCGAGGAGGCCCAATATGGATTTTTGCTGGATTTTGTATTTGGTGTCTCAATTCTCCAACTGTAGAAATGAGAGGCAGGAGCTCCTCTCTTCCTTCCAAAAGCTGGGGCAACAGTGCTCCAGCTATAGGGTGGGGAGATGGGAGATGGACCTGGTCTAGAAGGCCAGGTCAGGCAAGGCCATTCTGGAGAGCAGGTGCCTAGCAGTTCGGGCTGGCATCATGCTCAGGCAGGAGGAGATGGTGCAGACAATTTGATGCCCAGGAAGGAAGACGTGAGGCTCAGCAACTGTGACTGGGTGGCCCCCATTCTCCTCACCCCAAGACTAGGGGGCAAACCCACCCCTCACAATGCACGTGTGTGGCTCCTTCCCTTCTTTGGGAGCTCCTGTGATTCCACACTATGAGCACGTGTGCCAGTGGCATTTGGAGGCGGCATACAGAGGATTCGCACTGTGCCCTTAAGCCTAGGAGAGGCCTGAGGGGTCCTAAACCAGTGGTTTTCAAGTCTGACTATGTATCACTATCCACTGGGGAGCTTTTCAAATGCAATTGCCAGGGCCTGACTTGAGCCCAGCTGAAAGCAGGGAGGAGAGAGGAGAGAGTCCCCTGGTCTGAAATGGGCTTCCCAGGACTCCAGCGCTTCTGCCCTCTGGCAGCCAAACCCACCACTCCCAAATCTCCTGCTGCCCAACCATTCCATAGCTTTTCTCTGGCCAGTAAGGACTCGGCCTCTGGAGAATATGCCCAGTCTACCAGCTTCCTTTCCCACCTGGTTTAGGTACAGAGAGAAACAGAAGATGCTCAAGAGCAGGACCCCCCTTTAGGAGGACAATGACTACCCACCCTGGTGCTGGTGCTGGCTGGAGAGGGTCTGGAGACATCTGGATTTCAAAATGGGTAAGTCGCTCCTCTAAGGGCCGATTGAGAGGACCTGTCTCGGCGTGGACTCTGGTGCCTGGTACTTCAACCAACCCCTGCTGCAGCTGCAGTCCCAGGATGGGGGGATGGGGACTAAAATCCTGTCTGACCCAAGTGCTTATCCCTGACAGTAGCACCTCTATTCACCATCATCCATCCGTTCATTCATGCACTGCATACACTATGTACCAGGTGTGGGAAAGGAAATGGTGAAGAGCAATCCTGAAGGGGCACAGACTGATGATAACCAGGAAATTACAAACAGCAGTAAGTGGGGGCCTAAAGGGAGAAGCCCCGGGCACAGGCGGGTGAAGGGTCAGCACAAGCAGGGAGAAGGAGGGAGTCGGAGGGAGGAGGGGCATGTGGGAGGGTGGGTGGCCCCAGCTGCTGCGGTGGGCCACACCCCCTCATACCTGGATGAATTGCTCAAACTTCTGGATGTGGGCCTTCAGCTGGGCCTCCTTGACACCCAGTTCCTCCCAGCGCAGTTTCAGGGTCTCCATTCTGCGCTGAAATATCTTGGGGTCGGGGAGCAGAGAGGTCAGGAGGGCCCCTGGCATGGGTACTGAGGAAGGCCCCTGCATCTCCTCCCCAGGCCTCCCACTTTCCCCTATGCCTGGTTCAGAACACAGTATCCAGGACCCTGGTGACCCCAAGACTCAGGTCTCTTCTGCCTCCAGAGAGGGAACCCAGCACCACCCAGGACTCCGGGCTGTAGCCACAGCCACCCACAAAATGGAGGGCTGTCCTCAGGCTCTCCCTGAGCCCGGTGGCCCCTCCTCCCCTGCTCCCGGTGGCTCCCCACCTCCTTCTGCTGCTGCATTGCTTGGTGCACGATGTTGACCTCCTTTTTCTTCTCTAATAGCTGGATTGATGGGGACTCCAACTGCTCCTCAATGTTGGGGAACTTCCTGCCCAAGACATGGGCAAGGGAGGCCCATGGGCTCTGAGCACCTGGGCACAGGCTGGAACTGGGGATACCCCGTGAAGACATATGCCCATGGGGAGGGAGGGGGTTCCTGTCCCTCATCGGAGTGAGAGGAATGGTGTTGAGAGGGAGAGTGGCCTAGCTGGCATCAGGGAGCAGGCTGGGGCAGGGGGATGGGTGGTGGGGGCCCGGGGGAGGGGGAGGGTTGGTGACAGAGTGATGGGCAGGGCGATTTGGGGTGCTGGGTTATAGGAGTAGCAGGAGACAGGCTGGAAGGTGGGGCGTAGGTGGGAGTGGGAGGTCCCAGGCCCGGGAGGGGCTTCCCCAGACGCTCGCACTCACTGCAGCAGCTGTAGCAGCCGCTTCCCGTACTGGAGCCGGAAGTACTCGGCCAGATCCTCCTCCTCCATGATGCCCAGACTCATGGCGGTGGTGACCCAAGGGCCCAGACAGCGGACTCTTCACAGTGAAACACTGGGTGGTGGAGCCACAGGCGGCTCAGGGGTGGTGGCTTGGCTCTTGCTTCCCCCTTCTTCCGCTTTGCAGGATCCTACGAGGGCGGGTATCTCAGAGACTCTGGGGAAAATGGCTGGAGGCTGAGAAAGGGCAGCTCACGATGCTGTGTTGGGGAACTGAAGGGAGATCTGGTTGCCTAGCAATAGGTCACCTGGTTCTGTGCACCACCCACGGAACCCAGGCTTTGCTCTTTGACCCCTGCCCCCACTGACCCCACTCGTGCTGGGATCCTGCTCTCTGCTCCTGCATTTACCCCTTAGGAGCTCTGGGAAGAAGTTAGACCTGATTAGATGCTGGTGTCCAGGGCCTGGGCGTCCATGGCTGGGAGGAGGATGTTGGTAGAGAGGTGTTCTTGTGGGGAACCCTGAGCCTGGGACCCCCTCCTGGGTTCAGGTGTATGGGTGAGGGGTAGGGAGGGGCTGAGCTGGGGCAAATGGCGGAGAAGAACAAAGCAAGGAAGGGAGGTGCTTAGTTGAGGCTGGGGTTGGGGTGCGCAGGGGAGCGCTGGGACTGTGGGAGGAGGCCTCAAGTTGAGAACCACGTGGTGGGCGAGGGATGCGTAGGGGTGTGTGTGTGAGGGTGGGCAAGAGCCTGGGGACCAAAGCGGCTCCCTGGCGGTATGGAAGAGGGCCCAGGGTAAGGCCCCTCTAGGGTGACACACTCAGCGCCAGTGCCGTCTTTTGGGGTTTGAGGAATATTAAAATAGGAAAAGCAACACAGGGCACCATAAACATCACATACTTTACGTGTTTGCCTTTTGATGGCTGCTCATCAGCACTGCACAAGCTCATGTGGCCTGCGGCCCAGTGTCCGTATTTGAGACCCGGTGTGAGGCGGGCGCCGCGGTCGCGGCCGCAGGAAACGGCCGTGACCTCGAGCTTGCGCTACGCTGCACGCGCCCCGGGCCGCTCGGGCCCTCCGACCCCCGGCACCGCCCCGCTGCGGGCTGGGTCTGGGAGGGGAGCCGGTGGGCGCTCCCCGGCCCGGGCGGTGTCTCGAGCTCTGCCAGCCCCTCCACGACATTGCCGGTCCTCTGGCGCCCCCTGCTGGCCTGAAGACGCGCCCTGCATCCCCGCCCCGAGGAGGCGGCGACGAACGGGAGGCGGCCGCCCACCCCCGCCTCCAGCATTCGCGCCCCCCCGGCCTCCACTCCTGAGCCGCCGCTTCCCGCCAGACCGGGGAACGGGGGTGGCCGGGGTAGGGGCGGTGTTAGCAGGACAGTCCCCCATCCCCTCACCCGCCCGCCCCACCCTAAGCCCCTCAGCCAGAGATGGATGATTCTGCACCCAGAGCGCCCCGAAGAACAGACCCAGCAGGTGACAGGAACTCCTCAAGGGGGTACATATTTTCCCTCCTGGAGGCTGGCACAGTCGATCTGGGGTTTCCCCCCTCCACTTTGTGTGTGTGTGTGTGTGTGTGTGTGTGTGTGTGTCATACTCCGTTTTTCGAATCACCTGTTTTGCCGTGGTTACAGGCACATCCTTGGTTCCATCTGTGGGGTCAGGCGGTACAGGGCCAGGTCGGCGCACCCAGGTAGCTGCTAAGACATCCCCTTCTGCCCATGTATCTCTCACATCTGGGAGCTCCTCCTGTTGCTTCCTCTGTACCTTGCATGAGAGGCGTGGAAGTCTTCATCCCCGTCACCCACCTGCCTCTGTGGGGACTCACTGCCTTCCCAGGGGCCATGGGACAAGATGCAGGGCTTGGGAGTCACAGAAGCCTGTGCTCTCTCCGACTCCCCTCCTCTTCCTTCCCTGGGTGACCCCAGCTCCCCACCCCACCAGCCCTTTTCCATCTTGATATTTGCCTCTGAGGCATCTAGCAAAATCTAGGATTGGGGTTGTTGTAAACCAATAGACATACCATTTTCTGTTTTCTCCCTGTCCCATCCTCCCTCTAAGACAATTATCTGCTTAAAAAGGGAAGGGGCAGATAGGAGAAAAAAAAAGATCTAGGCTAATATCTCAAAAAATACTACACTGCCATCCAGACCAGCACAGTGCTGGGTACACAGCAGGGTAATGGATGTGAGGAAAACACTTTTTGTCTGTTATATTCCATTCCATTCCATACATGTCTTATATTCCATTTAAGTGGAATGACTCAGACAAATTATATTAAATATATTTCAAAATAGATGTTATAGAAAACTCCTTCTCTTGGTCAAGTAAATTGATGTTGGTTGTTGTATCTAACAACCTCAGGTCTTCATGGTTTAACAAGGTCCAACAGAGATTTTCCTAGGGAGACAGCTCTCTCTGGAGAATCTCTTCCAAGCAGTGAAGGGTCTAAGCCCTTTTTCTCTTTTGTAGTCCCATGACCTCTATTAAAAGGCAAAATTCAACTGAATAAATTTTAAAGGTCTTACTAGCTTTGTGCAACAATTTGTGAATTGGTTGGCATCCCATCCAGTAGATAGAAAGGAGCTGTACAAAATGAAAGACTTCAATAGGCAGAGGGGGCCTGACAAAGAAGCTACTAGCAAAGAGTGGATTGCCTCAGGCAAGGTCACCTTCCCCTTGGGGGATGGCAGAGGTCTGTCAGGTGGGTCACCTCACTAGTGCTGACCAGGTAGTTCCAGATTGACTTGTCCATGATTCCGTTCCTGGGAGAAGTTGAAACTGCAATTAAGTGAGGTATTAAGTGTGTTAGTATTAGTATGAGTCTCGGTTTGGTCACCTGGAGCTTAGCACAAGTAATTCCATTATGTGCCCATTGTCTTGTTTTTAACACCTCCAAGGTTGCTGTGCAGGAGGAAAGAGAGAAATCAAAGGAAAAATTAACAATCGCCACTCCTGTTCACTGACCGCGGGTGGGAACAGTAACATGGCTAGTGATATTACAGGGGGCTAGCTGTGCAGTTCAGCTGTGTGGCAGAAGAGGAAACTTATAATTTGATGAGCATCAAACCAGTTGCGCTGTACTCCTTTTGAGAATTAAAATGATGTTTGGAAGTGAGCTGAAAGCAGAGCTTTAAAAAGAAACTAATTGTAGACAAAGAAAGAAAGAAAAAAACCCAGGCCAGTCACAATCTCATGTATGAAAATCTTAATGGAAACATTATCAAATTTAATTTAGTGTAATGTTAAAAGAATAATTCACCCAAGACCATGAATACAAAAATGGTTTAATATTATGAAATCTATTAAAAAATTAATTCTACTAATATGTCTCAAGAGAAAAGACTTGGGATCATTGTGATAGTTGCCAACATGACGTTGAAAAATCCAACATCCATTCTGATTTACAAAACCCATCAAACTATCAGTACACAAAGGCGCTTTATTAACATGATGAAAACCTCTGAACTCAACAGACAGCACTGAAATTCTCACCAAAGATGTCCTTGTTAAAGTCAGGGACATGACAGGCATTCTTCTGTCACTACAAAACATTGTTCTGGATGCTCTAGCTATTGCAAAAGATAATAAAATTAAGATTTTTTCCCCCTCCTTTTGTCTCTTTTTTTTTTTACATAAATAGCAGATGCTGTGAAAATCCATGTACTATGAAAATCCAAGAGAATTAATAAAAAATGATTCAAATATAATGTAATACTATGCAATTTATAAGTGCAAGGTTGATTTATATGCATAGTCAGTGTGTGTGTGTGTGTGTGTACGGTTAAGTTTAGCAAAAGCTCTAGAAGGATATTTTCTAGAAGGAAAAGCTCTGAGGATGGAAATGGCATGAGGGGGTGGTTCTTTCACTTTTTATTCTATATTCCTGTATTATTTAATTTTTTTTTACAATGACTTTGTTACTTTTTCAATCTTGAAAAAATGATAGAAAAAGACACCCATTTGTATTGACAGCAACAAAAGAAAATTCTTGAAATAAAGTTAACAAGATGTGCAAGATCTTTAAAAAGAGAACTTGAGATTTTTACTGAGGGATATAAAAGAATGATTGAGTAAAGACTTAAAATTTCTGACTGATGACTCAGTGTTGCAAAGATGTAAAATCTGTCCAGATAACACATATTCTCATTATACATCATTCAAACAATATAGATACAGCTGCAGTCCTATTTATCCACCATCCAAATCCCATTTCCCAGAGGCGACCACGCATTCAACAAATACTTACATTCAATACCTGTGATATGCTTCACACTCTTCAAGGCTGCGGATACAGCAGTGAATAAAACAAGGTTCCCACTCTTACGGTGTTTGAGGGAAGAAACAGGGAATAAACTAACTCTAGTGATTACGTTTGGGCGTGCTGTCTTCAGGGCCTTGCCCTTGGTCCACCACAAGTGACTGTGAGTGGGGAGGGGTGGGAAGTTAGGACAAAGAAGCCATCACTGCCCACAGACATGGGCATCTCCCGAAAATCTCTCCAATTGGGATTCTCCTCCTCCAGGCCCTGTGTAGGACCCAGGGTCTGTGAGCTTTTCCAGAGCCTACAACAATGTATGAAACCTGGAAAGGATTATTGGCTCCAAAATACAATAAGGAAACCACAAAATAGTGTTTAATTAAATACATATAAACGTAATATTCCAACTTCATGAGTTGTTAACTTCAGCATTCATAAAGCATTTCACACATTTGAAAGTAATCTGTGGAGCTGATTCTCTCACTTCTCAAGAATTCCCAATTATGCACAGATTTCTGGAGAAAAATCAAAGCAAATTGCGAATTAAATGAGTTACTCATAGACGAAATAATTTCAAGAGCAAAATTATAAAAATCCTCTCACTTTTTTTCTCCCAAAGTATATTTAGTGTCGACAGGAGCGCATTTTTATCTGCTTACTTTCCTGGATCTAGGGCTCAGTTATGTTCCCCTGCAGAGTGGTGTTTCTAAAGGTGGCTCATGTGGGTTTTCACTAATAGAATTGTGCAAGGCAGTTGCCTCACTGAGCCCAGCCATCTTTTCATGGAAGGATTCTGTTATCCTACTTTGGCAGTTTGCCGAGGCGGAAGGCGACAGGCCCTTCAGGAGCAGTTTCAAGGGCCTCTTAGAGGGAAAGGATGAGGTGGAACCCCGGTTATGCTCATCTCACTGGCTAGTCACAGGCCAACTCTGACCTTGGAGCCTGGCCCCAAACCTCAGCCTGCTCTGTGGCTTATCCTTGAAGTGGTGAATAACTCCCTGCTGCGTTCTGCTGCCAATTTCTCAATGCTGGCATTTCTGAGAAGAGAATTCCCACTGGTCCAGATGAACAGCTCTGTGAGGCAGCATCTGAAAGCATCCCTTTCCTTCTGACTGTGATGTTCTGTAAGTGTGCTCCTCTCCCTGCTTCAGGAAGCTGGCCAAGGCTCTGAGTCCATCTGTGGGAGCCGCTGCCAGTGACCTTGTCACCTAGAAGAGACCTGAATGAGTAGCAAGAAGCTTCACATGCCAGAGTTATTCCATCCACTTGATTCTCCTTGCTGGGGACCCCTCCAAGCAAGGAAACTTTGCTTTACATCAGAGAACTATTTCAACATTCACACTTCTCAGTTTTCAGACACCAAACCTGAATTTTTAAAGATAAAATATTGCCCTTGAAAATTCATACATGTGCAGTAAAAGTGTAAAAAAACTGCTGGAAACAATAGACAACAAATTTGGGATAATGGTGACTATCTCTTGGTGCTGATGGGAGAGGGTTGCTATAAATTGGTAATGAGTATTATTTTAGATTGGGCACTAGGACACAAGTGTTCATTAGATTACTCTGCTTACTTCTGTTATATCAAATACTTAATAATAAACTTCAAATTACTGTGTCTGCTCCCATGGTGGTTAATTGGATTTATCATTCTCAACACTTGCTGATTCTCCTCCAAACCTCCTTTCAGTCAGTGGTTTTCCCCCTCTCTTTCAAACCTCTTCCAACATCCTCCCCCTTCTCCTTGTTCCTTGAAACTTGATTGACATGCCACCTTCCAAACTTGACATCTGTTCTTGCTAATAACTCTCGCTGCTTGGTGTTCCTCCACTGTTGTCTCTTTATCTCCTGGGAAACTGTGTAGTCTTAAAATATTGCAATGTCTCTTATCTGCCACCTCTTCACTTACCCCATGGAATCACTGAAGTTTAGAGCTAGAACAACTTGAGATTATCTCTTCCAAACTTCTCATTATATAGAAGAAAAAAATGGAAACTTGGGAATTTAGCTTAATCTTCAGCAATGGCAAAGCCAAGATTCTGGATGAGGCTAACAGCTTTCCTCCAAGACTACAAGCCAGGAGAGGCTCTTCGCTTCATCTCTTGGAATACTGCAGAGGTGGAAGGGAGATCGATGGTCCCTGAATCAAGCACAAATATAAGAGGAAAACCCTAGGGAGGTGGAAAGTGGTTAGATGCCTGCCTGTGACCCCCAACAGTCTAGAGCAGAAGAGAGCCAGATGCCAAGAGTAGAGAGAAGCTGCACATGCCCAAGTTATTCCATCTACTTTATTCTCCTTGCTGGGGACCCCTTCATCAAGGACACTTTGTTTCAGAGAACTATTTCAATAGTCACACTTCTCAGTTTTCAAACATTAAGCTTGAATTTTTAAAGATAAAATATTGCCCTTGAAAATACATACGTGTGTCTTTGTTTCTTTCACATTGTTCTGGGAAGATCATTGCACCCCCTACTGCTGCTGTGTGGCAAGAAAACAGCCCACTTAATGCCATCCCAGACCAGTGGAGTGAGAAAGAGGCAGATACAGGGGCACCCAGGCTGGGCACACCCTCTTCCATGAAACAGGAAGTTGCATCAGAGGGAGGCCACTCATGGAAAAGAACAGTTATCTGGGGAGGGGGTTCTGGAAGATTTACTGAGAAACAGTATTGTCTGATTGGGAGAAACAAAAAGGGAATGGTTGTTCTCAGAGAGCACCACCAGAGGCTCTTTGAATTGCCAGCCAAGGCTGTTGGTGGGCCCAAGGACACATGACCTCATAGGGATAAATAATGGAATGGCTGAGGAGGGCAGCCATTGTAAAAGAAAGGTAACAGGCTGAAGAACATGTACCAAAGGAAGCAGAAGCAATGGAAGGAATAAGAATTTATTTATTTATTTATTTTTAATTTTTTAATTAAGGTATCATTGATATATAATCTTATGCTCAGATTTCACATGAGCAACATTGTGGTTACTACATTCCCCCTATTATCAAGTCCCCACCATATACTCCATTATAGTCACTATCCATCAGCATAGTAAGCTTCTCTGTGCTATACTTCTCAAAGGAATAAGAATTTAAAATAAAAATAACAAATATCCTGAGAGAGATGATGGAAGATATTGGAAACATAGGACCAAAAGCAAGCAAAACTGATGAATGAATTCAATGCACATACTGGATATGAAAGCTGGGTGAAATATTGGGTGTGTTGAATAGCAGGCTAGATATAAAGAACAATCGATGAGTGGGGGCCCACTTTTAGGGACTCTCCCAGGAGGCAGCAGAAAGAAAGAATAAAATCTCAGACACAGAGGACTGAAGTAATAAAAAATGGAAAATCTAAGTCATAAGAGGAATTTCACAAGAACTAAAAAAAATGGAGAAGGATGAAATATTTGAAGAAAAAAATGACCAAGAATTCCCAGAAGAGACCTCAAATTGAAAAAAGCTCATATTTAAGAAACAAATGACACCCAACCACACCTAGACATAGAACAGTAAAATTTAAGAATATCAAAGGCAAACAGAAAAGTATTTTTTAATTTAATTTTTATTTTTGAACAGAGAATTCATATCCTTGTTCAAAACATCCAAAAAAAGAGGTGTACAGTGAGAAGTTTGACTTCCATCTCTTCTTTCAACTACCCAGTCCCCACTCCTTCCTTAAAGATAGTCACTTCACTTATTTTTTTGTGTATTTTCCAGATGAATATATTCTTATTTTTCTTCCTTTCTAACCAAAAGGTGGCATATAGACACTGTCCTGCCCCTTACTTTTAATTTTTTGACTTAATATATGTTAGGCTTTATCCTCACATCAATATGTAAAGAATTTCTTTTAATTGCATAATGTTCTATTGTGTGGATATGCCATAATTTATTTACCTGGCTTCTCTTGATGGACATTTGGGATATTTATCATTTTTGAAGTAAATAACTTTGTAAATATCATTTCACATATAGGCAGGTATATCTGTAGGATAACTCCTAGGAAGTGGGATTGCTGGGTCAATCCATTTGTATTTCATTTTCTATGAACTATGTGTGATAACTTTTGCCCATCAATCTATTTAGTTTGTTTTTCCCGATAGGTTTGTAGGAGATTTGTAGGGGGAATAGCCTTTCATACATAACATAGTTTGCAAATATTTTTCCTAGTTTTTCTTTGGCCTTTTGACTTATATTTTTTTTTGTAAATTAAAATTTTTTTACATGTCACATGAATTAATATTTTATTTTATGGCTTCTGGATTTTAAGTCATAGTCATTTTTCCTATTGTAAGGCTATTAGGGAATTCTAAGTTTTCTTCAAATGCTTTTATGGTTTCAATTTTTACATTTTTAACTTTAAGCCTCTTGGAGCTCATATAGTCTGAGGTATAAATCCAGCTTTTTCCCACTTCTGATGGCTGCCCAACTGTCCTCAAATAATTTATCAACTAGTCCATCTTTTCTTCATAGGAAATTTCTGTTCAATTGGTCTGTCTATTCACATGCCTTTACATATTGAGACTTTAAACATGTTTTTACATCTTTTAGAGCTGGTTTCTTCTGATTGTGCTACTTTTTCAATCTTCATAGCTATCTTGTTTATTTTCAATACAACCTTTAGAATCATCTTTTCTAGTTTCAAACAAAATAATAAACTAAATAACAACAAAAACCTAATTAGGATTTTTATTGATACTGCTTTAAATATATAAATTAATGCAGAGAGAATTGATGTCTTTGTGATATTGAGTCTACCTATTAGAAAAACATGGTATACTTTTTCATTTGTTCCAGTCTTTTCTTTTTGTCCTTTAATAGAATTTTAAAGTTTTCTTTAAAAAGGTCTTGAATATTTTTTTTGTTAAGTTCAGTCCCAGGTATTCTGTTATTTTGTTGTTGTTGAAACAGAAAATTCCAAGAGCTTCCAGAGCAAAAGAGGATCACCTACAAGAAACAGTAAGTATGTTGACATCAGACTTCATCAAATGGAAGAATTGAGTAGTATTTTCAAAGGACTTAAGAACAAGAACTTTTAAAATCCTAGAATTTTTTATGCATTTTAACTATTATTAAATGTGACCTGAAGTAAAAATATTGTCAGACACATAAATCTCAAAAACTTTACCACATCATGAACTTCTTTGAAACCATTTGTTTACTTTTATTTTAATTATTAGTGGTTGCCCTAGGGATTACAACCAGCATCTTATTTAAAACAATCTAGTTTGGATTGATACTAACTTAATTTCAATAGTCTATAAAATTTTTGCTCAAGTAGATCTTCATTCCATAACTGCTTTTTACTATTATCATCATGCAAATTACATTTTCATAAGCTCATATTATAATTATTGCTTTATGCAGTTGTTTTTAAATCAGAAGAGTTATAACAAAAATATATTTATATACTGTCTTTTATATTTACCTTTACTAGTGTTCTTTATTTCTTCATGTGGATTTGAGTTACTGTCTAATGTCCTTTCATTTCAACCTGAAAGATTCTCTTTAGTATTTCTGGGCAGGTCCGCTAGTGGTGAGTTTCTCCATTTTTTAGAAAATCTTAATTTCTTCTTCACCTTTGAAGGAGAGTTTTGGTGGGTATAGAATTCTTGATTGATGGTTTTCTTCTTTCAATACTTTGAAGATGTCATTCCACTGTCTTCTGCTTCCATGATTTCTGAGAAATCAGCCATTAATCTTATTGAGAATCCCTTGTACATGATAAATGGTTTTCTCTTTGGTGCTTTCTCTTAGTTTTTCTCTTAGTTTTTCACCAGTTGAGTGATGATATATCTAGGTGTGGCTCTCTTTGAATTATTCTACTTGGAGTTTGTTAAGCTTCTTGGATGTACACATTGATTGTTTTTATCAAATTTGGGGAGTATTTAGTCAGTATTTTTTCAAATATTCTCTATTACCTGAATTTTCTCTTCTTCTTCTGGGACTCCTATTAGGTGCATATTGATACACTTGATGGTGTCCTATAGGTCTGAATCCCTGTTCATTTTTCTTCATTCTCTTTCCATTCTTTTTCTAGATAATCTCTATTAACCTATCTTCAAGTTTGTTGATTGTTTTTTCTGACAGCCCAGATTTGCTATTGAGCTCCTTTAGTGAATTTTTCATTTCAGTAATTGTACTTCTCAACTCCAGAACTTCCATTTGACTCTTTTTTGAAATTTCTATTACTTTTTGTGGTTGATGTTGATA